TTGATCTAGAACATTTGTACATCTGGAAACTTCTATAATTTTGATCTAGAACATTTGTACATCTGGAAACTTCTATAGTTTATCAACCAGCATTAATTAATGTCAGTTTAAAACTTTTAAAACCACCGTTGTCTCAGTCAACTTGGGATACTGCCATAAAGTATCATAGGATATCTTCTGAAGATAGGAGGTCTTAACTTAGATCAAGGTTAGATTTTGATAAAAGCCCTTTCTTTCCCTGACTTAACAGATAGCTGCCAGTCACTATGTAGGTACCCTTACATGGTGGAGAGAGGAGGCCCTCATGTCTCTGCTTATAAAAGAAGTAATTTCATTCTGGGTCACTATTCTTATAATGTTATCATTTACTTCCCAAAGATCCTTCCATCTAATACTATTCACCTTAGAGATTTACTGGGCTATTTCATGCAAAAAGTGAGAAATACATAGGATTAGAAACTGAAAATACAGAAAACTCAGGATTACTATTTCTGATTGCTTAAGCCAGCATGCTTTTTGTTCATTTATTGACCAGATAGTTATTGAACACCTGTGTTTTAGGCAGTTACACATACTTAATATGAATCAGTGTACAAATAAATTCTTGTTCCTTTGGAATTTACACTTTAGATATCAGAATACTATGTCTTCTACAAACATACTGTAATCACTTGCAAATAATATTTTTGATTATTTCTGAATTTTAAAAATAATTTCTATTGAGTATTAAATTGCTTTACCCCTAGAAGCACAGAAGTACCACATACTGCAATATCATTTGGAGTTCCATTTTTAACTTTATGAGGGTTTTAAAGCAATGAAAGGCTAATTAGGTTCTGCAAATATAAATTAATCTGACTAGAGAAAATATACACTGAGAGAGACAGGGGGTAGTCCAGAGTGTTGTGCTCTTATGCTACAATTAAATAGGTCAGTGATGTTGAACAACTATGTCTTAGTAGTCCCCTCTAATAATATTGTTACCGGTATATATTATTACCATTTATTAATATTACCCTTTATTTGCTATGTGCTGTCATTATGCCAGACACTTTACAAGTATCCTCATATGTAATTCTCTCAAGCTCTCAATAGGTAGATGTTTTCTCATTTTTCACATGAGAAAACTGAGCCATATAGCTTAGATCATTGACAGAACTGGCATCTAGAGCTTGGGTTCTTGTGATTCCAAAATCCATATCTTTTAACTATTTCATAGTATTATTTCCCCAAATAAAGTAATATAAGGCCCCATGTACAATAACCCTGTTATCCTTTTATGAAGATTTTTAATATATCAATCATAAATCATTGAACTATATTGCTGATCATTACAGGTATTTTATAAAACTAACTTTAATTCCCCTATACTTAGACTCAGATGTAGGTATATTCAAATGTTGAACCCTGTGTATTTTTAAACATCTGTGTTACAATAGGATGATGTTTGTATTTTAAACTATTTCTCTCCCCTGCTCCCCCTTTTTTATAGCTACCTATACTACAGAAACATGGAATAACCCATATAATATGCATAAGACAAAATATCGAAGCAAACTTTATAAAACCAAACTTTCAACAGTTATTTAGGTAAGAATTATTGCTGTGATACATAAAAATGTTAAGGATAGCAAACATGTAATAGAGTTTTTATTTCAAGTTGATTTTATTTTATCAGAATATCTTCTATACATATTTTATAAAGATGGGTCATATGGTACATCATATAAAATCAGTTTCCTTTAAAATATTTCAAATAAGTAATTCATGTACATATTGTAGAATTCTTAAGATTTAAAAGAATGTATTCTGAAAAGTAGGCTTTCCTATTCCTATCCCATAAGTACTTAAATTCCTTCCCTAAAGGCATCCATCATTACTTCTTGAGTACCTCCCAGTGTTATCTTACAAGTATATTCCTACTGATAAATTTTTATTTTATACTTTTTTAAAATATGTTTTTTGGAAATAGCTTTATGTCATTACTTAGGGAACTGTGTTCTTTTTAAGTTGCATAGTTGTCCATTGTATGACTATACTAAAATTTACTCAACCCATCTTCTCTTGTTGGACTTTTAAATTATTTCCAGATTTTTGCTAATATGGCATGTAGTTAATGTCAATGTGTATAGATCATTTAATTCATATTAAATATATAAATACGTATGATTCATAACATTAATATGTTACTGTGTCAGGAGTATAGATTTATAGAAGTGGAATTGCTTAATCACAGGATGAATATTTAAGATTTTTATGTTGCATATTGCCATCAAGTCCTGTGAGTTTGCATTTTCACTATGGAGTATATATAATATCTTCACTACAGAACTATAAACCATTTTTAACTTTTCCCGATGCTGGAATGAATAGAAGTGGTGTCTCATATTATTTTAATTTGCCTTTCTCATTTATGTTATAATGAGTACAGTTAAGCATCTTATTCTAACTTTAAATTTTATTATGTATCTATTTATACATTATTCTTCATTTTTATATAATGCATGCTTATCATCTTGGGTGTAATCCCCTAGAAATCCCAGCACCAATTCACCTGTTCACCATCACAATAGTCCCTTGTGTTCTTCCTACCCCTAATTTGATCCAACTTCCTCCCTACACCCCCTAACTTTATTTTTTAAACAGAGTGTATGTTATGTGATAAGAAGGGTACATAAAGATATACTAAAGCAGTTTTTTATTCTAAAGTTGTCTCTTTTCTCCTCTAAGCCCATACACTTAGCTTTTTTCCTAGGAGGCAGCTACTATTAACTCTTCCTGGAATATCATTCTAGAGATACTCTGTGTCTATAGAGAAGCATGTATGTTTAAAAATAGTTTCTTGCTCTGCTTTATTATAAAAATGAAAGCAACTTGAAATTCTGTTAGTACAAGACAACTTGAGATATGTTATGTAAACATAAAGTTTTGTGACCACAAAAAAGATATTTCTATGTGTGGTTAATGGGTGGGGGGTGTGCTCTGAGGTATATTAAATGAACAGAAGCAAGTTGCAAACAATGTATATACTCTTAATATGGCTTAAGATACATATAGTACATTAGGCATATATATCCTTGTATATACATAGAAAATTTCTGGGCTAATAGGCTAGAAATTTGACAGTGGCTATTCTGTGAACAGACATGTATTTGATGATAGTGGTACCTGTTTTTTCTTGCAAATATTTTTATACTGTTAGAATATTTTACTGTGTATATATAATTTTTTAGTTAAGAAACTAGTTTTTAGAAAAGAATGTATATTCTATAATAGATTTAATATTTTGTAATTGTTAAATATTTGTTCTTATAAGTATTTTGGAAAATATAAAATGACACCAAGAAAAGTGTTTTTTTACAGGTTGTCCACAACCCAGAGGGAACAATTTAGTATATTTACTTAAAAAAAAAAAAGATTTATTTGTTTGTTTATTTATGCATTCATGCATGCATGCATACAGAACTGGGGTAGAAGCCAGAGGTGCAAGGGCAGTGAAAATATTCGCCAGAAGCAGAGTGGGAAGCAGAACAGGCAGATCAATGGAAGTACACTGCTGAGGGAATCAGCGGGCAGGTCACAAGAGGTCTGCCACGCCATGTTTATCGCCTCTGGGGCCAGGGAGGGAACTGGCACTGAAGTGACTGCTCTGGCTTGCAGTGCTGCATCCTAACCTGTTACACCACCAGGGAGGGCCAGTATACTTCCTTTTATAGCTGTTACTCTCAGCTTTATGTTTATTAGGCTTACTACATAAACTTAAATACATTAAGGAAAATAAAAATATTGTATATTAAACTGCCATGCTATAGAGTTCTAATTTGTATAGAATTTTTGTTTTTTTTGTACCAAAGTGTTCTGGGTGCAGTTTTTTTTTTTTTTTTTTTAAGATAGATTATTTATTTATACATACAGAACTGAGGTATAGGGCAGAGGTCTAGTGGGTGAGAGAATTCACCAGAGGCAGAATGGAGAGCAGAATAGTTAGATGTACTAAAATACACTGCTGATAGGAGCAGTAGGTGGGTCAGCAGAGGTCTGCCATTCCATATGGGTCATCTCCCTGGCCAGGGATTTAGCCTTTGCTGCAGTGGCTGTGATAGCTTCATAGTGCTGTGCTTTAACTGGTTGCACCACCATGGAGGGCCCCAGGTTTCTTTTTAATACCAATGGAAGAAACCTTTTTCCTCAGATTTAGAATACTAGATTACAAATTGATAGTTCTACTAGTAGTTTTGATATTCAGTGGCACAAAGTAAAATATTTTAGTTTGACTGTAAAATAACTCCTCCCTCCCAAACAGGTTTTTGTATAGTAGGCTTTATTTCATTATGGATATAGTGTCTAACCCTGGAATTCTGAAATCTCTGTGATAAACCCTGATTTTAGTGAATTTGCAAGCTAAACAATCTGAACTGTAGTTTTTAAAAAAAAATTTGACTGTAAAAATTTATTTTATGACTTCATTACCTTTATGTAATAGTTGTGCTGATAAATAGGTGGATTAGAAGTGGAATTTTTCATCACATAAACCTAGCATTATTTGATAATATCTTAAATGTTTTTCAGAGTGTAAATTTCCAAACATGTAGTCTCTTGGCTGTTTTTTGTTCTACTTAAGATTTGTTCATACAACAAATGGTTGACTTATGACTATTGGATTGTCATCTTCTGTTTTGATTAGCTTCCTAATCAGTCTTTCAGACTCTGGGCTTCCTCTAAGTTGGCCTGGTAGGGTTAGGAGGAGGTGATCACAGAGCCACTCAGAAAAGAATCTGATAGTCCAAGGAAAGTTGATAGAAATAGAAAAGTAACAATAAGGAATACAAATGTGTTTGTCATTACTTATGCCCAATGTGATTTTCTGTTTTAACTGCATAGATTTTTTTGTACTAAAATACCAGAGAAATGTTATTTAAGCCTAAATGTTAATGTCTTCAAAGCAGTGTGAAACCTGTTTCTTGGGAGTATAATACTTTGAAAGTTGTTCTGCATTCTTTGTGTTTTATGAACAGTTTTAGAATTTTTTATAGATGGAATTTTATCTGAAAGTGTACTTACCACAAAATAATTTTATTTTCAGATATTTAGTCTTGGATATTGCAGATAATCCAGTTGAAAATATAATACGTTTTTTTCCCATGGTAGGTACCAATATTTGAATATTTAAGATTTCTTTGTAACTTGAATCCTTGATTGTGGTTCTAAAACTTAATGAGACATAATTCTCTTGAATATTACTTTTGCTCTGTTGGGACTGAAAATTGTGGAGTTTATTTCAAGGAAAATGTATTATTTTCAAACCTTTTTATGGTGTTAAAAATTTAAGAAGTCATATTCTGAATGTATTAAATTCAAGTTAAATTTTCACTCCTACATTATTTTTAGATCTTATAATACCTGTTTTAAAGCAGGAAATTTTGTATTTTGGTAATTTTTATTCATATAAATTAGCAGGAAATTATTGTTTGTATATATGTGTTTTATACTTATATTAATCCCCATTTTATTTTAATGCATTATATTTTGCCTTCAGACTAAAGAATTTATTGATGGGAGCTTACAAACTGGAGGTAAATAATAATCATTTTGCTTAGCTAACATTTTTAGAAAGTTGTTTTTTGTACTTTTAGTTAATATTTGTCTCAAATGATATGGATGTTATAACCACAGATAGTAGACTGTTCTAATTTAAAATTTTTTTAACATGTTTCATTTGTATAGACACTATTTAGAGTCTATACATAACTGTATAACTATTTTCAAATTCTGGATCATCTCTAATCTCTTTAACCGTAAAGTTATGTTGTGTTTGCTACATAGTATAAATAAGTCCTAGAGATCTGAAAATTAGTAAATATCCAATCGGTATATATAAAACAAAATGTTTAAGAAAAGATATTTTAGTATTTTATAATACATGGTTTCAACGTATTTTAGGTGTTGAATCATGTGCTTTTATATCAGAATAACTATTTCTTGTTTTTCAGGAAAAGTTCTTGTCCATGGAAATGCAGGGATCTCCAGGAGGTATGAAGTTAGAAATAATCTTACTTTTAGCATTTATTAATGAGCTATGTTTTCTGTTTGTTTTTTTTTTTTTCTAAATTTTTTTCCCCCTCTTCAGTGCTGCCTTTGTTATTGCATACATTATGGAAACATTTGGAATGAAGTACAGGTAAGAAAGTACTCTGAAACCTAGTCACAATTTAAATTCTCATTAAAATGAAACTTAGTGGAAATGGGTTGGAAGTTTGAAGTTGATTTCTTCTGATTTTGTCATTTAGTCATGGTTAACTAGTCAAGCCCTTATATTCTTATGGTTAGTCTTTCAGCTGTTGTAGCTTTTCTGCTTTGTATAGATAATGCTTAGGCTAATATTTTTGGTTTTATGAAGTTAACGATAATTGTTATTAATTTATGAAGCCAAGGTAGCTATAGTAGAAACAATACATGGAAAATTATTTATTACTACGAATTGGTTAGTTCCCATTTTAAATCTGTAAGATATAGTTGTTATTGCTTACCTTCTTTAAAAGGTAAACTTAATTCTGTTTTTCTTTCCTTCCATAAAAAGTTACCTAGATTTGTTCTAGAATAAATCAGTCTTAGCCAAAACCAACCTTCTCAGGCATACTACACAGATAAAATGGAGAAAGAGAGGAGCTGAGGGAGCAGGTTCATGAGCTTCTTGCCTTCAAACAAATCCAAATTTGACTAGTGTAAAGTTTTTCTTAGTGTTTCTTGTGAACAAGTTAAAGACCTGGGAGTCACTGACACTTCTTTCTTTTTCACCCCACTTCTCCCAAACCAAACCATTACCAAATTCTTTTTTATGTCCTGAAATACAACTTGAGTCCATCTTTTCATTACTTAACTCCGCTAATACAAACTCCAGTTTTGTATTTCCACTTTCTTAGTAATTATTTAAATGGTTTCATTTATTCTTTCTTTCTTTAGTCTTTGCGGTAGACTAGTATTTTAGAATTACTTACCCCAAAAGGTCTGAAGGGTTTCTGACCCTTAATAATTTTTAACATGGCCAGTAAACTTTGTATTGCATACCTCTGTCACCCTCTTCTGCCCTTATACCATCAACACATACAGTTCTCATTTGAACTTCTCAGCATTGGATCTAATGCCTGACTTACAGTATACATTTGAATGCTTATTTGTTTGTTATCTTTTATGTTAAAATTACAGTGGAAAAGTTTGCTTAACAGACCAGTTCTTAAAATTAATATCATTTGAATAAAATGCTTATCTTAATTGAAAAAGATTAATAAGCATTAGTAGGCTTTTTGTTTTATATATTTTCTATTATTTGGTATCTTGTCAGTAATAATATTAATAGTGAAAATAACTTCCATTTATTGGGTTTCTGCTTTGTGCAGGTACTATTGTAGGCACTTTGATCTCATTTAAGCCTCACAGGAACACAAGGAAGTAGATATACTTCTCATTTAACCAATGATTATATTTTGAGCATGTGCTATGTGACAGATGCTATACAAGGTGCTTTACATTTACTATCTTCCATCTTCACAATAGCCCTCCAAGGTAAGGTACAATTATAATTCCCGTTTTACAGATAAGTTAAGCTCAGAGAAGTTGAGTAATTTCCCCTAGGACACACAGCTGGTAAGCAGAGGGATTGTGATACTTAGCCTGAGTATGCCATTGATTTTTTTTTTTTCCCACTAAATTCACTATCCCTCTGTAGTGCAAGTTCTATAAATAAGATTTCCTATTTTAGGTAAATTTTTAGATAAGCTCATATTTTAGGTAAATTCTGGAAAAAGTTGATGTTAATTCATGAAGTGATACCATCTTAATTTTCTATTTGTTTTCAGAGATGCATTTGCTTATGTTCAAGAAAGAAGATTTTGCATTAATCCTAATGCTGGATTTGTCCATCAACTTCAGGTAATTTATCACTTTTTCTTCAAGACAATACAGAAAATAGAGTAGTTAGAATCTTATGTTCATGTGATTAGGTATAAAATTTACTTTGTAATACTGAAAATTTGCCATAACCTGATTAATTTTTTATTTGTTTACATCTCTAAAAGTTGTTTTAAAGCATATAATACCAGTCATAATAATTTTAAGCACATTTTTAAATCTTAAGGTAAAATATTGATCTTTAAAATCTCTTCAATTTTTTTTTTTTTATGTTTAGATTACACTGAACAGAACTATGTGTACTGTAGCAGCTTTTTCTATTTAACTTTTCTTCTATGTTCTATCTTACTGGCACTTGGAAGGTGCACTAAAAATAATTAAGATGAACTTGTGAATTGTCAATTGGATTATATAATTTTTTCTAAGAAAGAAAATCATAGGTTTAAGAATGTACTCTGGCTAATTCTATCCAGTTTTGTGGGAATAAATCTCACATTGAGATATCAAAAGCATTACAAAATAAGATGTCTCAGTTACCAAACTTTATAGATTTCACTCCATCTTTAGTTTTTACTATGTTTACCAACACAGGATCATCTAATATTTTACCCTCTTTTATTGCTCCTGCCACTTCCTGTTTGTTAATCCTTAGTTCTATATCTGTGTAGAACTCCAGCTTCTATATTCAACTCCTGAGTTTGTTTTTAGCATTGTTTGCAAGAAAAGTTTATAGAAACATTGTGAGTCCTGACAAGTTGGGAAATATTTTTCTTTTGCCTTTACATTTGAAAGACAGTTGGCTAGATATAAAATTTTTATTTAATACGTCTTCCCTTACGGGTTTGCACAAAGGCCTGCCGTTAAATATTGTTCCAGGGAAATCTGAAGGAAGGCTAATTAAAAAAACTTTTCCCTTAGATGACTTGGTTAGGAGGATGCATTGTCTGTGTGATCATAGAATGTTTTATGAAGGTAAACCTGCTGAGTACTCTTTTTTCTGAGTCATACTGTGCCTTACTACTTGCAGAATTAAGCCTTCCTTTATTTCAGGGACATGTCTCATAATGTATTGTTTCATCAGGCATTTGTTTGGCACTATTCTAGGTACTGGCAGTGAAGCAGAGACTGAAACAGACATATTCTTTTTTTAAAGATTTATTTATTTGTGCAGACAGAACTGGGGTACAGGCCAGAGGCTCAGGGGCGGCGAGAGGCTTCACCAGAGACAGAGTGGGAAGCAGAACAGGCAGATCGACGAAGTACACTGCTGAGGGAGGCAGCGGGCAGGTCAGGAGAGGTCTGGCTCGCCATGTGGTCTCCTCCGGGGCAGGCGGCAGGCGGGAATCGAACTCATGCGGAAGTGGCTTTAGCTTCTCAGTACTGTGCTTTAACCCACTGTGCCACCAGGGAGGGCCCTTTTTCTTTTTTTTTTTTTTAAGAATTATTTATGATTACAGAACTGGGGTATTGCCAGAGATGCAGGGGCGGTGATTCGCCAGGGGAGCACAATAGGCAGACTGACGAAGTATACTGCTGAGGAGAGCAGCAGGCGAGACAGAAAAGAACGCCACACCATGTGGATCACCTCCGGGGTTTGGGATCAAACCCGCATTGAAACAGCTGCAGCTAGCTTGCAGTTCTGGGTCCTAACCCACTGCACCACCAGGGAGGGCCTGAAACCATCATACTCTAATGGGTGAATTAGACAATAAACAAAGGTAAAATGTGGTAGGTCAGATGCTGGTGAGAAAAATGAGAATTGGCCATATAAGGGTGTGACATGAATTGCATTTTTAAAAGGTGATTAGAGAAGTCCTTATTGTAAATGGGATGTTTGAACAAAGACTTGGAAAAATTAAAAAAAAAAAATCTGACAGGTAGGAGACATATATCTAGGCCTTTGACCTGTAAGGGAAGAAATAACCTTATAATAAAAGCATTTTGGCTACTATGTTAAATACAATGCAATCTATTTGTGTATACTGTAGGGGGAATTGAGGATAAGGGTAGACCCAAGTACACCAGCAAGTATAATGCAGTCAAGAGAGAATACTGAAGTGGTGTTAGGGGAAGGGTGAGAAGAGTTCAGCTTCTGGATTTATTTGACAGTATAGCTAAGAGGATTTGCTAATGAATTGTAGAGAGAGAGTAGTCTGAATCTAAACCTTTTAGCCTGAACAATTGAAAAAGGACCTGGTACTTAACCAGGGAGAAACGTCAATGGAAGGTTTGAAGGAAGTGAAATCAAGAGCACAGTTTTGGTTATGTTAAAGTTCATGATATATTAGATTAGACCTTAGGTAGTTGTAAGTCTGGAGTTCACAAGGAAGAACTGTATATATAGAAATGGTCAGTGTATATGTGCTGTTGAAAGCTTGAGTCTGGACGAAGTCACTAGGGGAGTGAGTATAAGAAGAGATTTATTAACTTTTATAATTTAAAAGTAGGAATCTAATGTACTTCAACATGTAGAGGTTGAGTAGACAAGAAGTTAGCAAAAGAGATAGAAAAGAATGGCCAAAGTGGTTACTGTTACTCTACTCAGAAGAAAATTAAATGACCTGGTGTTTAGAAAGTCAGGTAAAACAATTGAAGAAGTAGGGAATGATACACTTTGTCAAAGGCTAAGAGGTTGAGACAGGACTGATAATTGACATTAGAATGGGGACACTGGTGTCCCTGATACAGTTTTTGTAGAGGGGAGATCATCATTATTATTGCTGCTCAGAGTTGAAGAGATGTGAACAGCAAGGATAATTCTAAAGATTATGCTTTGAAGGGAAAATTGGAAATGGAGGTAGAACTAGAATTAATGGGTAAGGGTGTTTTCTGAAATGGTAGGAAGTGTATTTGTGCACTAACTGGAACAATCCTGGAGAAAAGGAAAAATAATGTGCTAGAATTGCATGGTATGGTCAGTTTTTCTTTGTTGATTCTATTATGTCTATCTTTTTTGTGGGTTTTTCCCCTTCCCACTTTATTGAGCTGTAATAGTCACTGTCTTCTCTCTTTTCATATTTCTTCCTTTTATCTCTCTGAACTCATTCCGGAAATGCTGTGTTGTTGGTTTCATTGAAAATCATTCATGATTTTCTTCTGCTTCACGGTGTAATTTTCATTCTCTGTTCTTTATATGACTTGGTGTTAATGTTGCTTTTCCCCCACTTTTGCATAAGACTTTATTGCTTCTTTTTTGATTATCTATCATGTTTCAAATTGAGGTATTTCATCTTAGATATGTTATAAATAATTTTTGGAAACAGGGCCAATGAAGTGACTGGGAAAGGCAGATCTCTTAAATTTTCCCAGTAGTCTTTGAAGCTTGCTTCACCAATGCTTTCTGTGGTGGTGTGAATCTTACTTGATGTGTAGGCAACAGAGTCTTTGCATAGGTTTTTCTTGTTTAGATTGATAAGCATTTGATGCACATTATAATCACCTGGGAGGGACCTTATCTACTTCAAGTTTTAAAATTCCTTAGGTGACTGGCTGGTCTTCAGGTATAGCTAGAGCTAGGCTGGAGAATTACTGATTTAGCCATTACTTTTAGCTGACCAAGATCAGCAGATGGTTGCTACATGCATCCTAGTTTCCCTTCCATCTTACTATACCTGTAGCTTGCTTCCGGCAGAAATATCAGGTGTGGGTGTTCATATTTTCCTTAACATGCCTTGTCTCTTCCTATAGTTCATTTATTTTTCTTGACTTCAATCACACTACACAAGGACTTGTTTGTTGTATCGTGGGTATGCAACCTTATTTTATTTTTTGACAACCCTGAACTGTACCTAGCTTTCCTGGAATCTGCAGAGACAGTCTTCTTTTGTACCTGGCTTAGTCTGGTTCCAGTGTGTGTGTTACAAAGGGGTGAGGGGGCTTGTACACACACACGTAGTTAGATACATTACATACAGAAAATACCTAAAATGCAAATAAACATACACATAACCAATATCCAGATCAATAAACTGCATGTTTGTAAATATTCCAAAAACCCACTTGATGCCCTACTCTAACCACAACTCTCTTTCGCCCTTTGTAAGATGACCACAATCTTGACCTGTCAGTTCCTTATTTTTCCTTCTTCTCATATTCAGAGTTAGATATTTTCTAATTTCATCTAACAAAAAGTTTTACTGTTTTTAGAAAGGGGAGACACATGCCTTGATTTCACCAACTTTCACTGGAAGTAGAAGTGTTAAGGAATTATAGAAGCAAATATATTCTTGAATCCAGAATATTTTATTCTTATTTTTAAAGTTATTTGCAGTTTTATATAGCATTTTCTTTTTACTGGATTTCATTTCATTCTTAGAATAATTTTATGAGATTGCACATTTGTGTTTTTGGCTTGTATGCTTGTGTGTATGTGTATGTATTAACAGATGCGACAGATCACATGGCTCATGCCTCAGTGGCAGAAATCACATACTGAGTGGGAGCTCGTTATGTAGTGTGTTGGTGCAAGCTATTTGCCTGACTTCATTTTTAGTGTCATCAATAAATATGAAATTACGGGGCAGGAATTATAAGCATGAATTTCTCTTACAATAATAATGGAACCAGATTTTTCAGCATAAATTAAGAAAACTAAATTTATATATTAATCACTGTTAAAAAGTATTCAAGAACTTAAACACATACGTGAAATCTTTAAAATCTTTATTTTTTTAGGAATATGAAGCCATCTACCTAGCAAAATTAACAATACAGATGATGTCGCCACTCCAGATAGAAAGGTCATTATCTGTTCATTCTGGCACCACAGGTAAGAATTTTTTTTATTCTGGAAAAAGTTAGAGAGAAAGATGGTATGAAACGTAGGAAGAAAACTTTATTCACTTATTACAAGCTACACTGAACAATTTAAATTGCTTAGAAAACTTTGAGGGTACTAGTCATTTAAAATAAGATAATTTTCATTTTAATTTATTACTATATATTACATTGAACTTTTGCTATATGTACATCATTGAACCTATTTAGTTAGAAGCATATGCTGGTTGAAAGATCAAAGTTCTGCTTGATAGCATAATTGTTTCAAAGATTAAAGTAAGAGATTCTGGAGAAGGGAGTGCCTATGAACATTTAGAGCTTCTCTACTTTAAAAATAAATAATTAATAAGCGAAAACACCTTTCCATTCAGTAAGGTGATTAGTATGAGCTAACCTGTTTTCTCTTGTTATCAATATTTCAGTCCTTTCTCTATTCCCTATTTCAGCTCACCCCCCCCCATTTCACTGTTAATAATTCAAGCATTCTTTCATAGTTCTAAAATTCTACCTGTGTTACCCTTGTTTGCTTTTTGCTAGAGTACTCATGGAATTTATTTATGCCACCCTTCCCCATAGTTCATTTCAATCTCATTTATAACAACAGCCCTTATAAAATAGAACAGGTTACATACCTAGTTACTCCTGGACCTGGAAATTGAACATTAATGATCTGATCCAAAAATTGAGCACTCTTCATTACATTATTGCACTGCTTATAGTTATAATATATACACATACCTTAGACTCTACTTTGTAGTTAACCATTGACTCTTTTATTCCCTTTGCCAATTCTAGTCAGTTTCCAAATGTGGCAGCATCTGTTTCTGCAGTATCTTTTATATTCCTCTGTTCTTTTTACTACTGTCCTTAATCTAAATATAGTTAAGGCCCATATTGACCTCCTATCCAAATTCTTATTTGAGCTGTTCTATACATTGTGATCAAATTTTATTTTCATGAAATATAGTTCTGTTTATCCTGTGCTAAGTGTCCATTGGCTTAATTCCTATAGAAGAACATAGTGTCATACATTAAAGGCTGTTGTGATTTTGTATCTCCCATTGTTCCTCTTTATATATGTACTCTAGATACCTGAACTACTTATAATTTTCTGTGTTTGTCTTTTCTCCAAGATCAGATTCAACCTCTCTAGTCTTAAAAGAACTTAGTTCAGATATCATCTCAAGAAAACCCAGTATTACTCAATCATCCTCCAATTCCTACTTATTTTACTCTATTCCTCAGATTTCTTGATTATATCTGTAGGACTTACAGGGATAGCTTTAATTCTACTTGGGAAATTTCTGTATTTGCATACTTTAAAAAAGAGCAGATAAAAGAAATCTCTTCATGCTACATGATTTCCTATTTCCCAAATAAAACTACAGTGCCAGCAGAAAAATATTTTCTGCAGCACCTGTGAAAGCAAAAAGATAACTATATCTACAAAGTAAGTTTGTATAAATATAAAATTAATTTCCTAAATTATATGGCCCAAGTCACGTTAATGGTACTTGAAAAAACAAACTTCATAATTCAACATTTAGAAACTATTTCTCTAAAAAACTTATTTAGATAATTCTTAAGAAGGAATATGTATCTTTTTGTTAAGATATAGGGAAAGATTTACTAGGTTATCTAAAAATAGTCATGCAATTTTTATTGTGCACATAATGGTAATAATGAAAATGAAACTTTTATTAGCTGTAACATTCAAACAAATGCGTATATTTTAAGTTCCCAATATATACTGTGTCCATGCAATAACTTTTAGGCAGTTTGAAGAGAACACATGAAGAAGAAGAAGATTTTGGAAACATGCAAGTGGCAACTGCACAGAATGGTTGACTCAAGAGCAACATTAAAGAGGATGTGAATTTCTATTTGGAAAAAGAAGATACTAGAGACAATAATAATGTAAAATGGTAAAAACACATGTAGTTTTTTTTTTCCAATTATATGTTGCTTCCAGATTGTTTCTCTGCAATTTGACGAGCAACATTTTAAGATGTTGGACTTTTTCAGTAGGTGGCACTGATGGTTTTACTTTTTTTTTGTTTTTTTTTTTTAACTTTACAGTTTTATTATAAACCAAGAATTTTGGACTTGCAGAGAGGTATTATTGCAATAATGCACTTTTCATACTTGAAATTTATTTGTATGATATAAAGTTATTACTTTAAACAAAATGCAAGTTAGGGGGTATTTGTTAAATCTGAGTAATTTATAAGAAGAATTTCCTAAAGTTTGCTAAAAATTCATTTGTGTTCTATAAATTACATTTTAACAATAATTTTACACTTCAATTTTGTGGAGCCTCTTACAGAAACATTAACAAATGCAGGACTCTGCCTCATTTCCTTTTTAGTATAGTTCAATAGCTGAATTTCCCTTTTATTTTTAAAAACTCCTTAATATAAAATCATGATGTTAGCTAACTATCCTTACTTTAACATGGTCCAAGTATTTCTTCCTATTACCTTCCTACTTTGTTTATTCTATAGGAAAAAACTTCAAAGTTTAATGAGCAGAGAAGATATTTTGTTTTTTAATACCAGGTCTTCAAAAAACAGTTGTAGATTTTCAGGTGGCTTTCTTTTTTGCATTTCTTAAAAGCCAAATGTTGTGTTTTTTCTTTTTAGGGTTGTTTATAGATTCTTTTCCCCGTGGTTCCAAAATGGTTCTAAGTGAACTATGATAAACGTATGTAGCACTATTTTTTTCCTAAATGAAGCCCAAAAAAGAAAAGTGCCTTGTATCATTAAAATAAATAAATCCTATGACCTCTAAATTAGTATGTAGGACAGTTAAGTTCTTTAACACTTTTTGTATCTTTTTAAAACCATCATTTAATTTAAATAGAGTATAAGGTTTAAAGACACCTCAGTAAATTATTTGGAATATTAAACACTTCATCTTAGGCTGTCTTAATGATTCTGTGAGGTTGTTCTGGCTCAGAACGAAGCTGTTCTTTGAAAATGCATTTATTGGGGAAAGTGGTTTGTGGGAGACTTTAGTGTGTCATAAATTAGTATTTTTAATAATTTCTTTACACTGAATTAATCTAAATTTCCCCCATAATTTGCATTAGCAAAGTCACTTTATGGACCTTTGGTTTTCCGTTTTTATTTATACATGTAAAAAAAGGTTCTAAGAAAAACATTTTTGCTGTTTTTAGTATGATGTGAGGAAGGAGAGGAGTTATTTTTAACTTTTATAGGTGATTTGGAGTAGCACAAACAAACTCCCTTCTGTCTCACTTTTCTCAATCCTCTCTTGAGGTGCTTTACTGTTGGGGATGATTTCCATACATTCCCCTGGTACCCAAAGGTACTATTCTAGGTAACCTATTACATCAAGTTACTTGCTTTGCTTTCCTCCCTAAGCTGTAAAAATAAAATAAAAGCTTCCCCCCACCACCATCTCTACCCCCAGCATAGTGGAAGTCAAAGTGAATTAAACTTTGTTAATTCCTGTTGACCCAGGAAATCTGATTTCCCTTTCCTTCTCATTTTACCACCAGGAAAAGAGCATATTGTTAATCCCATTGTGGTCTGGTATTCTGTTGTGTGATTAGGTTATTTGGTATGGTGGTCTAAGTAGAGTCAAAATTTGCAGTGTGTTCAGAATTGCAAGTGCCAGATAACAGAATTCTCCTGTATATAGATCAGCAAAGATCTCTCTTGCATTTTTATGTAGTCTATGAAGCTTCATTCAGCAGAAACTGTTTAAGAAAATCTTCACAATACTACATTAAGGTTTTTTAATGAGACAGTTAAGATTTTTAAAATTAGTTTAATATATATCCTCTCTAGTAATCTAAAAATACAGATTTGGTTATTTAATTTATAACTGGTAATTTTCCACTTTTTCTAACCACTATAATTTTTATGTTATCACTAAAGTGCCTGCCCAGCACTATATATTAAAGACCATCTTTCACAAACATTAGGAAAAGGGACTATCATATTCTTGAGTACATTATTAATATGGACAAAATATGGTTTATTCTTTTTTAAAATAAGGATATTGCAAGTTTGTTTTATCTTCGGTTTATTCTTCCACCTGATGTTCAACTAGTTCTGCTAGCTCTTAGCTACTTTTCTGTTTGGTTCCTTTTTTGTAATTCCTTTATTTCTGCTGATGTTTGTGACTGTTAACTACAATCATTTAACCAATCATGATTTACTTTCTAAGATATCTGAATAATGTATGAATGATGTAGCATCTAATTTTAAGCATTAAGTTGAATCTGGGCACAAAACTTAAAGTGAAATTGCATCAAAACATAGGAAAATTGCTTTACTGCCAATTTGAAAGTATCTAATTTAAATATTCAAACTGGAATGGCAGTATTCTTATTTTACTTAACTGGTTTATCTTAATTTTATATCTATTAAATGTTTAAACAGCAGTTACTTTTATTTTAATCTACTACACAATGGTGGAAATGTTGAACTAACGTAATAGCTTCTGCTACCAACTCTAAACCATTTAACTTCTAGAGCAGAATGTTTGTTTTGAGGGTATTTTGTGCTTCATCTGAGTTTAGAAGTAATGTCAGAAAATGTAAGCATGTCCTTTTTAAGAAAATATAAGGTTTATAATTGTCTTATTACCATGGTAATTCAAGTGACTTAGAAGTACTTAACTGCAGTCTTGAATTATAAAGTTGGGGTATAAAGATATATATCTTGGGATCTCAACTTGATGTAAAGTAAATGAGCAGTTACCTGGCGGATTTTTTTTTTTTAAATAACTGTTTTAAACCATAATTCCATTACATACTTAGCTTCACTTCAATATTTATTTTATCGTTGTCCATTCAACAATGCTCCAGTGAAGAAATGATAGGAAATAGCTGAGAATTACTAAATGACTTTTTTTATTGATTAGAAAAATAAGTTTCTAGGGTCTTTGAATGCTGGATTTCTTTTTCTTTTTTTTTTTTTGTCTTACCCATTCATGGCAGCTAAAAAAAAAATCACTCAAAATATTCAGGTTTACATGTTAGCTCTCTCTCGTAGGGAGTTGCCATACCTCACAGTTCAAAGTGTATTCTATAGATCAGTAACATTATACTGACATGTAATTGCAATTTACTATGCAGCAAAAATGATTCAAGAAAAATAACCTACAGTGTCTGTTACCTTTGTATAGGCAATGCTTAAGTTACTCTGCTTTTAACATTTGTACTTGGATAAAATGCTTATGTCTGTATAGGAATGTCACAGTGCAAGATGCTGCTAGCCCAGGCACAAAGTATTAAAATTATTTTGTAAAGATTGGTGGTTGTATTAAAACTGTTGTGCCATTGTACCTCAAAAAGCTTGAAAAGCTCTTTTATACTGCTTATGCTTTAAAACTTTAGATTACTATCTCCTTGGTAAATGTAACCCAGTTTTATTCCCACAGATTAAGAAGGATAATGAATATTGGCTATAGAGAAACACTTAAGAGTACTTCCAAAACATTGTGGTCACACACTAAAAAGTTAGGGTCATTAAGTCCATGCACAGTTCAAATTTCAGCTCAAGAATATTTTAAGGACTGTTTGAACAAGTTTGGAGCCAGAAGTGAGGGAATTAATTTCTGAAGGAAGAGGATAAATTATAGAGTACCTTCCAACCTATTTTAAAATTTCTGCTTGTTTTTACATAAAGTACCCTCTTCCCCCCATTGAGCTTACATACATACTTAGTATTTTTTATGGAATCTAAGATATCATCACTAGACCATTTATAACATCATTATTTTAGATACCGCTAAAAAGACAGTATTTCTCAAGTATGACAGCATCCAGATTTTTGAAACTGTACAGAAAACCTTTCACCTTAAACTTACTTACAAAACATAAGGGGCATAATAAAAAGCACAACTGCCACCCACTTCATTCTACATTATCAAAGGCAAACTGCTTTATGTAGCTTTTTTTTCATATTCATTTACTCACAGCATGGCTCAGAAAATCATAAAAGTTCTCCAGTTAACTTAAATACAGTTATCTTAAATACAGATCATCTTCAGTCACACAATATTTATATGTTATGTGTTACCTATATTTCCTATAAGATCTAAGAGCATTATTTTAAAGAATTTATTAAAATACCAGACGTTGTAGACAGTTTTACTTCAGATTTTTTCAGTGGCACGAAATGTAATACAGCATTAAGTTTTGCCTTTTATCAGCATGTACCTAAAAATGGTACTTGTTGTACTAAGGTTGCAAGACTCCCTAAAAAGACAAAGCTAGTTAGTGTTGTTGCTTTAATTAGAGATCAATTCATTTAAATAGGGCATCTGTAGGTAAGTGGTGCACCCTTTATTGGAGAAGAGTTTATGTATTTTTAGAAATCATAACATGAAATCTAGCTGAGATAGGTTTGAATCAAAGGGGTGGAAAACAGGTGATTTTTACTTTCCAAGTTCATTTTATAAAGAGTACACAATACTAAAATTTTATCAAACATGACAACCTAATAATTCAACAAGAGACTCAAGAAAAGTAGAGACAACTTTAGGATTCTAACAAAACACTATTATATAATAGGTTTAATGTAACATGGAATGCAAAAGATTACAACCATTGATAAAGTAATTATTCAACTTAAAAAAATAATTAAAATAAATAAAATCAGGATACTGACTATAATAGTACCATTATTATAATCACATTAAATACAAAAGTTTCCATTAACATTTTCAGAATGTAACCAATACAGCATGGTACCCTTTTGAATATTCCTCTCATTTTGATAATTATCTATTTTTAATGAAAAAAGTTACTCAGAAGAGAGGCTTCAGATACCCATGAAAAGATGAGAAATCAGGTTAGAAAATCATCATATACCAGGATTTGCTAATTCACTATTTTTAAATTACTTCGTATTGGCTCTTATATGAATAATTATCTTTCACATGTAAAACAGGTGACATATATAACATTAGATTTACATAAACTTTAGATACACATTTAAATTATTTGAATTTTGTCACATTTTAAAAATTAATTTTCATTTCTACTTCTTTAGACACTGATTAGGTTGTTTGCCAATACAGTATTAGGATCAATAAATGTTGAGTTGTACTATATTTAGTTTTAATATGTCTAACTTCACATAACATTTGGGAAATGATATACACCTAGATAGTATTTAGTTATGTTTCTTGGAAACAAAATTTTATGAATATGAGAATAGCTTTATTAGATACTTTTTAAAGATAGTAGACATAACTCCTTATTATATGTATTCTTGACTACTAAGAAATGAAGCCAAACTTTAGAAAAATACAATGCAAGAAAAGATTCAAGTTAAAAATATATTCCTTTGGTTAAAAATCATCCCCATTTATAATCATTTGTAATCTAAACACATAGCATGTCCCACCAGCCCAAAGTAATCTTCTAAATGTCACTATACTTGTATTACAATGTTTTTTAAAATTCAGTATTTATGGAGGTCACTGGGTTGTAGCAACAAACATTTTTGACTCTAGAAGAGTATAACCTTGTTGCATAAGCTCCTTTGATGTCTTCTTAAAAAACTTTTACTTCAGAAACCTCCGACACATGTAGTTTTCTTCAGATACTGTATATCCAAACTTTTTATAGAAACCAACATTTTGTGGTAAACATTCAAGGGTTATCTTATAACAGTTCAGTTTCTTGCTTAGCAAAGTAAGGGTAGATAATAACCTGAAATTTAAAAAAAAAGGGGGGATATCTATTAATAAAAATGGATCTTAGTCATTTAATGTAATGAATGTTACATGAAATTTCAAGTTTACAGTAGAAATAGTTTTAGAGAACAGCCTTTCCCACAATATTCATTTAAATATAAGCCTTAGTCACTGAACCTTTTTTATTTTGTTTCAAAATACTGTAGTAATTTTCAGTAATACGTAGGAAGAAATACTAAAAGCACCCTAAACCCTTTTTTTTTAGTAAAACTTAAGATTGATGTTACTATTTAAGACTGACCTTTTACAAAACATAGGCAGAATTAATTTTTTTAAGTTTTTTTAACAAACTCATTCAAACTAAGGAACAGTAAACACTCCCACATAATAAGTGCAAATAACACCTGTGTTCTTTATCGTTTTTATTAAACTACTATCTGTGAAAGCATCAGTAAGACTTGCTTATATAAACTGAAGGCAAAAAAGTACACATCTTTATGAATCCTTAGAATATTAAAAAAGATCCACAAAATTTTACTTATGCATAGACTGAAAAATAATAACTTGAAGACATCATCTTGATTGGTATTATAAAACTTCTGAACAGTATGACTATATGGACTAGAATATTTAAAATTTGTCCGTTTTGTTCAATGATTTACCCCAAATACCTTGAATAGCAAGTGCTTAATATAAGTTAATTTTTTAAAAGATTTATTTATTCATTTTTTTATGCATACAAGACCTAGCGTACAGGCCAGAGGTGCAGGCGGTGAGAGATTTCACTAGAGACAGAGTGGGGAGCAGAACAGACAGAATGATTGAAATACACTGCTGAGGGAAGCAGGGGGGTCAGGAGAGATCTGTCATGCCATGTGGGTCACCTTCCTGTCTGGGGATAGAATTGTGCTGCAGCGGCTGCAGATTGCCTTGTAGTGTCGTGCTTCAACTCATTGCACCACCAGGGAGGACTCTTAAGTGAATTTCTTTCAAGAGGTAATGAAGTTTGAGGTACAAAATTTGTAATAAATGTGAAACTTAAAATTATTTTTAAAAGTTTATATTTATCTTTAATATGTAGGAATTAATTTAAATAGTTTAATTTAAAACTGCATTCACTTTAAATGTATCACTAAATACTTAAAAGATTATACAACGAATGAAGTTTTTTTTTTTTTCATTATATGTTTCTTAAACTTGCTTTTATGTATATGAGAGACTCTGGAGCACATCTCTTGACATGGACAGTTTCTATTTCCACTGATATAAAAATGCTACTAGAAGATAACTTCTAAGATGTAACAGTCTGTAAAACAAATTTGCAACTTTTGAACTTGATAAAAGCAATGTAGGAGCCCTCCCTGGTGGCGCAGCGGGTTAAAGCACAGCACTGAGTATCTAAAGCCGCTTCCGCATGAGTTCGATTCCCGCCTGCCCCGGAGGTGACCACATGGCGTGGCAGACCTCTCCTGACCCGCCTGCTGCTCCCCTCAGCAGTGTACTTAGTCCATCTGCCTGTTCTGTTCCCCACTCTGTCTCTGGTGAAGCCTCTCACCGCCCCTGAACCTCTGGCCTGTACCCCAGTTCTGTACGCACAAATAAATAAATCTTTAAAAAAAAAAAAAAGGCAATGTAAAAAGTTTATTTCTTTTCTAAACTCAGTCTAAGTATAGAGTGAGAATAGGTTTATAATAAATGGCATCTAAAAAGAATTTCAAACAGAAAAATATTCACAGTAAGTATCTTGGCAAGAAACTTTATCAGCTGCAACACAAAGTATCTTGTTTATCCAGAGTTACCTTGTTTCTGCCTACTTACAGTTTGCCAAGCTGCTTTCCTCTGCATTCATCACTAACAACAACATCTTCTACTCTTCCTCTCTGAAAATATTTAACAATGTTTAAGGACTAAGCATGTAGTTTTGGTTTAAGCTGAATCAACAAGTTATACTGGTAAAACTCATTGATAAAAAGTTTGTAAGCTAGACTTTCACAAAAACTCAAATACATTTTTAAAATTTATTATTATAAAGGAAATAATACAATGAATCACTTAGAAACCGATCTTGTTTTATCTAGATCCTATAAACTCCTTACCCAGTTATAAAGCGAGTGTCAGAATCTTATCTTCAAAGTATAATCTTACACAAGCATGTATTAATATACTCTAATAGCAATTTACTTCAGACATCTAAATACAATTTATTTCTGGCTCTAAAACACAGAAAGTCATACCTCACAAGTTACATTCTAGATTTTCTTATATTCTCATTGGATTACTTAAATTTCTTTACTCATGTGAATCAAGAGCTCTTTAGGCATTAGAAGTGTCACAATTAGAAAAGAATATAGTATATGAATCCTTTACAACTTGGAACCTGATTGGATCTGTGTCGCTGAGGTATAGTCAAAGTATTTTTGATTAAAAAAAAAAAGTATGAGGGATGTTAAATATTACTGCTGTATTTTATATGCAGATTTATTTGGTTACACTATACCAAATCTTAATACCTTACTAAATAATAAATAGGAAACAATGTTATCAGTAGTTTCTATCCTGTAACTCTCAGAAGACAATGGGGAAACCCCCCCTTCTAAATGATTCCAAAGAAGGAGAACTCTGTAGTTCTCATATTACAATGAAAATCAGTGAGAAAACAGACTAATGGTAACTCAAAAGTTGGTTTTACTGGAAAACACCTGTTTTACACACAAGTATCAATATGAACACATACCTTAGCACAGGAATGGATGAATTTATGTTCAATTATCAGAGTCGCTGTAGCAACAATCTGTCCTAAAGTCACATCTTCCACAACTGTAACATAATAATCCCCAGATTTCTTCATGTGCTCAAAAGATTCTATGAAAATTGAAAAAGCATTATGTACCATGTATTAAATCTTATTGAAAGTGCCAGAAACCACAATTAGCTGACTTAATGAATACTCAGAGGTATTTCAATAAGGTAATTGATAAATTGTTCTGAAGAAAATACTTAATATAGTTTAAATATTAATAATCATTATCAACTGGATATAGCTCATGCTGCTTACAAAATAGAGTTATACAGCTATTTAAGATGAAAAGCACTTGAAAAGACTTAAATATTTTCATTACTACTTTAATCAATTTCTTTAATCTTTACACTCAACAGATAGTCAAACATAATAAAACTGATTTTAAAAGTGATTATATATGATGCCCCATTCTAGATTTTTTTTTTTTTTTTGGTTTCAAAATACCTTGACAAAGTTGTTTTCAATTTTGCCCTGTGACCTCGAGTTCTTCATGGTTATTTAACTTGTTTTTCTTTTTTTTAAAGAGAGTTATTTATGCTTACAGAACTGGAGTATAGGCCAGAGGTATGGTGAGTGAGAGGATTCACCAGAGACAGAGTGGGGAGCAGAACAGGCAGATTGACAAGGTATACTACTGAGGGTAGCAGCGGGTGGGTCAGAGGAGGTCTGCCATGCCATGTGTGTCAGCTCCCTGGCTGGGGATTGAACTGGTGCTGTAGTGGCTTCAGAGAGCTTCATAATGTGGTGCTTTAACCTGTTGGCACCACCAGGGAGATCCCTTTAACTTGCTTTTATAGAAATCATTTTTTGTTTGCCTTGTCAGTACCTTATGAAGTCAAAAGTATGTCTCTATAGCTACATTATTTTCCAAAGGACACATTGCAAGTAGGAGTAAAAATGTAATAAATACTTTCTCCTCAGGTTGATGTTTAGTACATAATGTTGCAGAAATAATACGGTCTTTCACTGAACTGATGCATGCAAAGAATACTTCAAGAATGAAAACTGAGCCAAACAGCTCACATATTAGTTTCACAGTTTTATTCTATGAAGGGGAATCTGGTTTGGGAAGAATGAAGGAGAATAAACAGTATAAGAATGATGATCTTCACTTCAGAAAGGTTAGTAAAGTACCAAACAAAATTACCTGTTGAAGGAAATGGCACAGAGTACTGGGTGCAGTAAGGAGGATACTATAATCATTTGCTTCCCATTAACCGTAACCTTGGATATGCCACTGAATTCTGGATTTCCACTTGTATGTATACATAAAAAAAGGGTTTAACTATAGCTTTTAAAAAACTTGCTATCCTTCAAATTCAATTTAAATGAACCAGAAAATTCACAACACATTCATACATTTTTGATTTCATGACAAAATTTCTGTGAATAGCCTACACACATGAAAATAAATACTATAATAAAATATACTCCTATGTTCTATACTACAGTAATTACTAGAAACAAGTATTTTGTTAAACATGTTAATTGCTACATTTAGATTCTAGATGGTTAGCCAAATTCAAGTATGGAAGAAAATACCTCATTTGTTATTTGAATAAAAATGCCAATGAACAGGCCTCTAAACAAGAGGCTATAATACTTACTCATAAATTGTTCAGGATTGACAACACCAGTCTCTGTCAGCTGACCTAGTACCTTAAAAAAACCTAATTAAGAAAAACAAATTTTGAGTCATAAGAAGAGTAAGATATGCCAAGAAAGTAATGTGTTAAGCTGGTGAGACTACAATCAGTTCTTTTTTCAAAACTCTAGTCATTTTAAAATTAATTAAAAACATTATTAAACTCAAACCCATTATTTTCCTATAATCGCTATATAACAAAGAATAGTTTCACCAATGTTTTTTGCCTGCATAAGACTTTGGAATACATTTTCAATACTGGATCAGTACGTACATTTTTCAATGTTAATTTGCATTAAATTCAACTCATAGGATGCCAGATTTCTCCAAATATGTGCTTTGGTTTTATTTAAAAGTGAAAGGTTCTTAGAATGACCAAATAGGATATTTGTGAATAAATATAAATTATGTAACATTGTTTAAAGTATGACAAAAAATTTCTTTTGAGGTAACATTGTTTCACAACACTACATACCACTTGTGGTCACTCCGTTCAGGTGCATATTACCATACCATATCCACCACTAAGGCATTAAAAATCCACCCTAGGCCACTCTGGCCTCTCTTTGACTTGCCTCTCTCTTTTTACTTCCCCACCTGATAGCCTCAAATGTACAGACAGATTTTTTAACTATTTCTAATTAATTTCATTAATATTGTATTAAAATTAGAACTTTAAGCATCTTCTGCATTTAACTAAGACAAAATTAGCTTCCTCAGCAGGATTTTCTATCAAAAATAAAATGTTGATTTTTGATAACCAAAATTTAAAGAAATTTGGAGAATTTATGTTAAAAAATAGCTATTTAGAAAAAGCCTTTTGTAACTTACCAAAGAAAAATTATCTCGACCCTCATTCACCATGTAAAGTCCTTATGTATCATTGTGATGATAATGTATAGTCTTTTTAACTTCTTAATTAGGAAGCAGTGCTGTACTTCAGTCATTTGAAATGTTTCATGTTAACATCTTAGCCATGATATATACATACTGGTATTGAATGTCTCAATGTCTCAGGCACTTAACAAGTGAAGTACAAAAAAAAAATTCAAATACTAAAAAAAAAATCAGTATCAATGTTTGTGAAGAAAATAGGATGCCAAGTATAATTCTGACTATCTTGAAATTGAGCAAGTCCATACCTCTGTTTAAGTCAGCAGTACACAGAGGCCTCAAAACCAAACCTTCTCCAGGATGTGTTGGGGAAATGGCTGGAGAAAATGTCGCTGTGTTCTGGCTCCAGTCCACGTCTTTGAGAAGACTTGGGTCAAACATAGGAGTTTCATCAGGCTTCATTTTTGCAAAAAGTTCTAAAATAAAACTTTAAATGTTAAAGCATTTTTATAGAAGGAAGATTATTAAAATTGTTTAAATCTTTAGTGCAATCAGAAAAATAACCTACAAGGTATTTTAACCTACCCTGAATCTTAACACCAAATGCCACAACTATAGATAATAGAAAACTAACGATTACTATCAAATAGTAAAGACATGACTAAATTAACGAAGTTTTAAAGAACCCATAGTAAATCTTCTAAAATATTTTCTTTATGGGTTCTTTATTTGCTACAGTGAAGTACTGTAGACTTTTCATGGGCTCCTACACTTCCCTCACATTCTTGAATTTTATTATGGGCCTTATAAGTTATTTGTGGGTCTTAACCACTAAAGACTTAACTCAGCATGCAACTGTTTTAAGATTGATTTATTCATTCATACAGAACTGGGGTACAGGCCAGACATGCGGAGGGTGAGAGGATTCACCAGAGACAGAGCGGGGTACCGAACAGGCAGTTCTACGAAGTACAAGTGGGGCTCCAACTCATGCGGAAGTGGCTTTAGCTTCTCAGTGCTGTGCTTTAACCCGTTGCACAACTGTTTTTTTTTTTTAATATATGAGCTGTGAACAGACATGATTGATAAAGTGGTTTATTATCTACATTCACTATCATGTTTGATCTCAGCTATAACATTCACACGAGTGTATTTTGATTTTACAGTAGTTTTTCTAAAAATCTGTAAATTTTTGAGCTGCATCTCAGCTTAAGGATTGCTGATATTTTCCATACATCAATTATATTTTTTTTTGAATATTGATAAATGAGCAGGTTCTACTAGAATTATATAAAGGATATAAACAGGGGTGACATCTGAGCCCAAAGACCCAGAGTCTTCGTAACAATTTTTTGGACACTGTAAGGCAACTCCCAATGATTTCTGTTCCTAAACCCAATTAGAGAAGCTATTCTATTTATTACCTGCCTCTGTGTCTTCTTTGAAACAGAATTTAAAGATACACATTACCATAAAAGAAAGGCAATACAGGAAAAATTAAAAAGTCCATTTAATGACTAAAACAATTTTCCCAATAACCCAGAGAATCCCTATTTCATAGTATGCTTAAAAGCAACTATCCCTAATTTTTCCTTAAAGGCATATAAAACTTCTGCCTAGGTAGCCAGACATAGTTTACTTATATGGGTTATGCTGTATAGCTGAGGCTCTAGGAAGGTAGTGTGGTATAGTAATGGAAGACCACACGTGCCAGGCTTTGTTCAAAAAACTTTATTTACATAACTTGTATTTACTCCAACAATTCTGTAAGATAGGGATAATTACCTCCATCTTAACAGAAGGAAAACAAAGCACACTAAGTTGAGCCAGAATTTAAATGTAGGCATGGAAAGAGCATGAGCTCTGGAATCAGATCTAGTTTTCCTATGCCTATAGTGTGATCATGGCTAAGGTAGTTAAAACTCTCATAATGTTTACTTATTTGCAAAATAGAGGTACAGTTATTGGGAGTATGAAATCAGTTACTGTATGTAAGAACTCTACAGTGCCTAAGTACTCAGCGTGATATACTTTAGGTCAATTTAAAATTCATTTTTATAAATTCTTCATTTGTTTCATCTTTAAATTAGTTCATGAGTCAGGCACTGTCTAGGAGCAGGGGCTACAAAAGGAATGACAGGTTATCTACTATGTTTATGCCAAATAAGTTAGCATTCTTGGATAAAAAAATTTAAAAATAGTATAGAATGTTGTGATTTTTTTTTCCCCTTGAAAAGTACTCAAATATAGCTGTAAGTATTATACCTGGTTCTAAGAACAGTAAATAAATAAAACAATCCTATCGAATTTAACAAAGTTATGGTCCATTCAAAACAAATTTTTCATAGATTAATTTTAGTACATGCATTTAAGCATTTGGCCCTGATAATTGGGCCCCTGAGGCTTTTGGGTGTACTCTCATTGGAAGGTGGTTAACAAGGTGATTGTTTTCCAGATACACAAATAGGTCATATTTTATCAATAAAATAAGTACATTTTGGCAGATGCCAAAAGCTATTAAAAATTTAAGATCTTCATGAAAACACTATTTAAACATTTGAGACATTCAGGCTATTTAATATAGTTCAACCATTAGAAACAGATCAAAAGGGAATTCAATTAAACATTAAAAACATTTACTGTTAACCAGATGCCACTTTCCTATAGAGGTTGATTTAGAATAAAGTAGCCTAAAAAACATGCAAGTTAGGGTATATAATTTCTGACAGAGAAAGAATTATGATTGTAAGTCATAAATTTAAAACAGTAAATACTAAATTTTTTTGTGCTTTAACTGGATAGTGGAATGATCATAAGTGATAACTGGCTAACATTTGATGAATACTTTGTTTAATAACTAAAAAATACAATAAAAAATGTTGTCATCAATTTACAGAGGAGATAAGCAGATAGGCACACTAAATTATTCAACAATTAAAAGCAACAGAGTTAGGATTCAAAATCAGGCAAAAGGAACAACTTCACGGCACCTATGCAATTGCCCATGCAGGGTCCTACATTTGGTTTAATTCTCTGCTGCCACTGTCTTTAAATTCTTAATTTTTAACAGGAGCTCTGTAATCATAGCGTGGATTACCACAAATTATGTTTGCATGACTACAAAGTGTACTTAGTACTGGAGATTCATTAGTGAAATGAATTTCCTACTTTATTGTACAAATGATGAAAATATAGTAAAAAACATCATTTGTAACTTATATTTGCAAAGTAAGAATTTCAGGCTAGTCAAAATACATTAAACCAAACATCCTGTATGTGATAGGAATCACCTAAAATCAGATATTAAAATTAGAAATTATGTTAAAAAGCTCTTAAGTGCTATTTCACCAAACAATCATCTGTAAGGTATACTACCTTTTACTCCATCTTAAGAGCTATATTAAAGAAAGAAGTGGGTTTGGTAACAAATTTCATAAGATTTTAGAAAAGAATGAAACATTTAGCTTAAAAAGAAATAGTGTAGAACTAGGACATTTTCTCAAATTCTTTAAACTTATAAATTAGGCATTTATAAGACCCTTAACAGTCTAACTTGACCCAGTTAATGTCTAGTGAAGGAACAATAAATAGTATTTCAAAAAAAATCCAGAAGAAAAAAGTTCCCCAAACTGCCAGAGGTGAGCTCACAAAGGCCAAACATCAAATTTATTTTTACTATTCTCACATTAGGTTTTCATTAGGACTATCTGGACACCATTTCAACAATTATTTTTTCGAATACAAATGGGGAGGAGCTGCTGCTACCAGAAAGCAACTGAGCAACAAGTAATACTGGGGATGGAGGTTTTTTTAAGTTGATAGGAAATTTTTAAATGCATAACATACAGCCAGGTAAACTGCCCTATATATCAAGAGTTCCTGGAGTGACTACGTCACCTCAGCGCACACTGAATGCGGAGGTGGGAAGAGGGGGCTGTTTTGAGACTTTAGGGTTAATCTACTACGTACATTTTAAAATCTGAATACATTTGAATCATTTGACTAACGTGTCTAAACATTTCATTTGTTGATTCTAACACAGCTTGTCATATAAAATTGTGCAGCTACACTTGAAACTTTTCCAAAGTACTTATTTTCTAGTAGTTTATTTGAGCCTTGTAATCTATTCCTAGTTGACTGTGCAAGAATCTGTAGCACGTGGAGCTTTCAGGACTTGACCCAAGGTAACGCAACGAGTGAAGTAGGACTAGAATCCTATCTTTTTTTTTGCATCTTGAGCACCACAGTACTTAAGAGGTCAAGAGTACCAGACAGACAGCTCTGATTCCTCCATTATAAAATAACAAAGCCAGTGAATCCTTAAATAGAATCGGTCCATCGATTTCTTAAGACCCATTCTAGGATTCGTTCATGAGTGAATATATCTTAATTGCATAATCGCCCGTTCAATTTTGTATGAAATTTTATGACTTCGGTTTATGTAAACAAGCGTTCCCATAACAGAAATCACAGTACTCAGTGCCTGTAGGGCTAGAAGCCCCGGGAAAATAGACAAAGGATGTCCTTTTCCTGAAGCGAAAGTCCCAAAGTAGGCAGTACAGGAGATGTTCTTCCGAGCAGGAGCATGTCCTCAAGTGGCTCGCGACCGCCTTGGGGTGCGCCTCAGTAAGGAAGGAGGAGATAAGGTGCTGGGGCGTTCATACCCATTCAAAGCCCAGGGAGGAAGCGACTGTTCATGATACTCCACGCGAAAGTAAGATGAGCGAAAAATGAGTTCCGATCCTAGGCTCTGCTCCTACCCAGCCAGGGCCACTCTGCTTGGCTGGACCACTGCCATGATTCTTAACCTCTGCCCCGGGCGCGTGCCCGCTCACCTACCTCCGAAACGCATTCTACAACCATGTGCACCCGTTGGCGTAGATAAATGCCCGGTTCTGGAAACCGAAGCCCTATCTTTCCTCTGCCCCCACCGGGCCTAGCTCGCCTCGCCCAGGGGCAGCAGACACACCTGTTTGATAAATCTGCAGGCAGGCCCGCGACCAGTCCCCGGACACCCGCCCGACCCCCTTCTCGCCCTCGGACCTCCAGACGTCCTCACCCGCAGAGGCCCGGCAGTAGGTGCTCCTCTCCAAGCCGGCTGGACTCTCACTCACCCGGACACTCAGCACTGGATCCGGATCCGGCTTCACCGACGGCCCCACCTCCTCCTATACCTCCCGCGCCACGGTCGCCACCGCTGCAGCCGCTGCGCGAGCCCCGCCGAGACGTG